CATACTTCTCACCAGCATTACTTTTAATTAAAAAATCAGCTTTATTTCTATATACTAACAATGAACAATCTGAAAAGGACATTAAGAAAATAATTCTATTTACAACAGTATCACAGAGAATTAAATACTGGGTCGTTGGAAAAGTCACAACACATTTTTGCGTAGAAAAACATGTCTGTGACTTTCGAGACAACCCAATACTTAGGAATTAACTTAACCAAGGAGATAAAAGGTTTTTTTTTTTACAATGAAAACTGTAGATTTTTAAACAAATGATGCAAAGAAAATTGGATGTCCATACATAAAGGAGTGAAGCTGAACTGTTACCCAACATCATATATGAAAATTAACTCAGAATGAATCAAAGACTAAAAAATAATACTAAAACTCTTAGAAGAAAACATAGAGCAAGAGCTTTACAATACTGGATTTAGCAATGATTTCTAGGATATGGTACCAAAGACACTGAAAACAAAGGAAAAAATAAACAAATTGAGTATTATAAAAATTTAAAAATTTTGTACACCAAAAGACAATACTAACACAGTAAAAAGACAACCCATAGAAAGGAAAAAAGTATTTGCAAATCAGGTATAGGGTAAGAGATAAATATGTAGTATATAGAGAGAACATGTAAAACTATGCAACAACCCAAACTGATTCTGGGTAAATACCAAAAATAATTAAATGCAGGATCTGTAAAAGATATTTGTACACCCATGTTCACAGTGTCATTATTCATCACAACAGCTAAAATGTGGAAACAACTCAAATGTTCATTAGTGGTGTATGGTTAAACAAAATGAGCTATATACATAAAATGGAATATTATGAAGCCTAAAAAGGTATCAAGTTCTTACATACTGCTATAACATGGATGAATCTTAAGGACATTACAAGTAAAACAAGCCAGTCACGGAAATGAAAAATAAGGTATGATTCCATTTTTATAAGATATTTATAGAAGTCAAAATCAAAGACAAAAAGTAGAATGGTAATTACCAGGGACTGGGAAAGGGATGGGAGTGTAGAGTCAGGAAGTAAGTGTTTAATTGTAATGGGTATAGAATTTCAGCTTCACAAAAACAGTTACAGAGATGGGATGGTGATGGCAGCCCAAAACTATGAATACATTTAATATCACTGTACTATTCACATAAAAATGGCTGGAATGATAAATTTCAAGTTATGTGAAATCTGTCACTATTAAAAAATTGTAAAAACAATTCTATAATTCTATAAAAATAAGGAGAAAAAAATCTAAAAAACAAAAAAAGAAGCAGAAATAGAGAAGGGTGTGTATATTTAGTGTTTGCTTTCTCCATGTCTTTCACTGTCTAAAACTTCTATAAGTCACTACTCAGTGTGAGCAGAGGGGCTCTCCAATCTTGGGTTACCGGCTATAAAATCTGGTTCCTTTATTCAAACACCTTATGAAATTCTATGCAATCTATCTTTGAAGAATGCACAAACTGCTGATCACAGTGTTTAAACTCCTTAATGCTGCTGCCTAAACCTCAAACTATAAATAGGCTATTTTTTTATCTCTAGATCACTAAAGCACTTGCTCCAAATATGATATAAACTTACTTAAGTTAGCCAAAGATGTTTTAGTTTATTGCAGAATCATGTAAAAAAATTTGTCAGAAAAAACAGCAGTGAGGAAAAAGAAAAAGAAACAGAACGCACATTTCCAGAAATAGATGTCTTTCATTATAATTAAAAAAAAATTACTTAAGTAATAATTAATCATTTCAATGTATTATTATGAAACAGCCAGTCAATGAAATAGCTTTGATTTCCAAATTTAAATCAAGATGTAGAAACAAATTAGATAGTTGTACATCAGCAGTTAGTTAAGCAATGGATTATAAAGTCAAATATTTGAATGAGTAATTTCAATGCTCTTAGATTAAAGATCAGTGGTTGGTAATTAATATTTTTTAAAGTTTATTTATTTCTTCTATGATTAAGAGAGACAGCCCCACAACAGGGTCTTGACACAGTGATTCACCCCCCAGCTCAGGTAGCACCAGACATGGGCACGCATGTGCCCAGTGTACTCAGGGAGGTCTCCAGATGTAAACCCAGAATATTCCCTCGTGGGTCAACCTCACAAGACAGCATTTTCCCACTCTGCCACCATCTGGCCCCATTTCATTGTTTTTATGTTGTGAAATGAGGAAAATGCCTTTTAGCTCAGTGAAAGCATAGTAAACACACAAAACACTCCCCATTAAACTGATCATAAATAATAAATTACATTTTGTCTAATCTAGAAGTTATTACCATAAAATATTTTGTGGATTCAAGTATTTCAACTGTGCTTTTTTTTTTCAAGACTCCAAACAGACGTCTAAGCCCAAACTTGTACTAGTTAATTAGTCGTAATCTACTATAAATATGTTCAACAGGGAGCCTGAACTTTTATAGAAAGCTTAACTTAGAATTTGAGAATGCCACATTTGGGCAGAGGTTAAGCACCTGAAGTATAAGAGAGAAATTTAATGCTATTTTACTAACAGATAAGGATTTGCAACATCTCTCAAAACTGTAGGCAATTTCATGTTGGGTAATAGTCAAAATAGTGTCACAATAAACCCTGAAGCCTAGACTTATAATTCCAATTAGTTTCAATGGTTTATTGATAAAAGCTACGCTGGTGATTTTTGGCCAGCTAAGGCAGAAAGATGGAACTTGCCACCTATTACAATGCTTAAAAGAGATATTTAAGGTACATTTCTAAGACATGGTTCCCATCCCTATTTGATCACACCAGTATAAAAAACTGCCACTAAACTGCACTCTATACATATATTTAGCCCTTAAAGTCTTTCTTCTTTAAATGTTATCTTTGCTTAAGTTTATTTTGACCCAAATTCAACCATGTAAAATGGTAATGGGTAATAAACAGTCTCCCGTAGTGATATACTTTGCTCATGTTGACACTGAAAACACAAACATTCCACTTACAAACACCATCCCTTAGGCAAAGTTTCCCAGAAAAACAAAAAATAGAAATCTCTTCAGATATTTAGTAGGGGAAAAAAAGGCATTTATTTTTTCCCCAAGAAGATAATGCTAGTAAAGTTTTATTTCTTTACAATTTGGCATTTTTTCCCTTGTCTGTGTTTCTCCTGGACTTATTCCTCTTAGGTTATTCCTACTAATTAACTCTACAAGTTATCAGCCAGGGTATTTATGCTAGGCAGTCTCCTGACAGCCTACAGTGATGTCTGCCTCATAGGATGCCTTTGTGTCACCCCTTCCTCTCCATCTGGGTTGTTTGAATAACTCATTTCTAACAAATACATGGCAATGGTGACACCACTTCTGAGATTAGGTTATTATAGACTGAAGCTTCTGTATTGGATGCTGTTCAAGTCCATTCTAGTGATTAAAAAAAATACTTGGGTCTGGGTAATTTGTAAATAGATGTTTATTCAGATCATGGCTTGGTGATCCAAGGATGAGGGGTAAAGAGCCTTGCATTTTTGAAAGGCAAGAGTTTTAGGAGAGCATGTCTCTGTTCTGGACCCACCAGGTAGCTGTTGGGGCTCCCAATGCTGAGGCCTAATCATATCCCAAAGGCCTCACCTTGGGGCACGTAATTAGATTAAGTTTCCTCTAAATTGCTGCACAATAAAACCAAATGTCAACATGTAAATTTTTGGGGAACACCATCAAACCACAGCAGATATTCTTTCTAGGGAAAAACGGGAGTCATAATGCTATTAAGAAAACCATGTGGTGTGGAACCTAGGCCTGCCAACAACCATGCAGTGCACTTGAAAGTAGATCCTTCTTGACCTCAGTGAAACCTTCAAACAACAAAGTTCCCAACAAGAGCTTGACTGCAATCTCATTAAAGAACCTGAGCTGAAGCCACACTGCTAACTTGTGCCCTAACTCCTGATCCACAGACAAATATTAATGTTCATTGTTTTTAGCTGGGGTAAATTTGAGGGTAATTTGTTACTCAACAATATATAACTAAGTCTCTCATCAGACAACCTCTCAGGTTGACTGAATAAAAATGAAAGTTTCTGATTCAATCTAAAAATTTCATTTTACTCACTGTTCATTAGGAGACCTGCTCTATTTTGTAAGCCATTTTCATGGGAGGAGGGGGTGAGGGATGGGGAGTCCGCCTATCTCAGAAATACAATTATCAAACTCAACATTAAAAGATAGTAGGGAAGGAAAGCTGAAATGGAAAACATAAACTGATTTCACATTCCAGTAATAAAGTCATGCTATACTGATTTGGAGAGAAACGCCAACGATCCTTGAAAATAAGTATTTCCTTCATAAAACAAGTAAACGCAATCATTAAATTAGTAAATACATGCAGGACATAAAACTAAAACGAAAAAAAAATTAAATGACTGAGAACTGGTATTCATTTATGTAGTTCTGTGTAATGACTATATTACTAGTAGATAAGGATTTACGACATCTCACAACACTGTGCACCTTCCATGAAAGAGATTAGAGTCCAGTCAGAGATTAACGACTATGAGAAAACAAATTGAGAGTTTGCCAAATTTCATAACCAGATTGTGATTGCTGCGGCAACTGGCACTTCATCGTGACCCCCTCTGAACGTGTTTGCGTTCATATTACTGCAAAGCAGTAAAGAACCAACAACTGTGCCTAGGTGCCACAGTTGGGCGTAAAGAAAGTAACCCCTGCCAAGTTTCTTGGCCGTATTTCAGAACGACGCCGCGTTACTACCTGGGGTGCCAAGGAGATCTCTAACCCAATAGCCTAGAAACAGAAAGAACACCGTCCCTGTCCCTCGGCACTGCTTCCTCATTTTAATAAGCCATCACCGCTGTCACTCAAAATGCTCCGTACTGTCATTGGTCCCAAACTCTTGATGGTCGGCCTGTTTCTGCCAACTGGCGAGCACCGGCTGTCTTTATTTCCAAGTAGAAAAGTGAAGTACAAAGGGAAAGGAGACAAGAGATCTGAAATATCGAGGCTGCCGCTTGTACCTGAACGACCTGCGATCTCCACCGCCGCCGCGACGAATCGGCCTCTGGGCGGGGGTTTACAGCCCAAAGAAAACGGCTCAGCCGGGAACAGGGGTCCAGGCCATGGAGAAGCCTGTTCAGACTTCACTCGCGCACACCGGTGGTGCTGACGGTGGTGAAAGTACCAGAAACAGCACTAGGTCCCTGAGACCTCAGCACTTCAAGCTGCAGGAGCCAAAGCTGCCGACTCTCCGACTTTTGACGTTTCCTATTGTTGCCGGAAGTGACGTTTGGGTTCTGCCCATTCAAGAAGAAGTAGTTTTATACTCACTGTGTAAGATTCGTCACACTGTCTTTGCTTCTCACTTCGCAGCTTGAGCCACTCTGAACATCAAAATTATACTTATTTCTTATATAAAACGTAGGATCGGACTGGCAGCTGAGGAGGCGCTCGATGGAGTCAGACTTCTCAGGGGTCTGGACGATGGAGATGTGGAATCTGCCGCGCGGAATGTGGAGCGCTGAGGCGCTCGCCGCTTTGAAGGTCTTGCCGCGGTGCGTGGCGGGCTTGAGCCCACGGTTCCAAATACAAACGGTCGGCGCGAGGAACACGCCCGGGCGCAGGCGCCAGGCGGCAGGGACTGCCAGGTGGGAGCTGGGCTCAGGTGACTGTCAGGTTACCTCTGCTCGCTCCGCCTTTGCCTGTCGTGCCGGGCCGGAGGCCTTCGGAACCGCTTCTTTGCTTAGCAGTTGCTGGGTAAGCCTTGGGGAGCCGGTGAGACTGTACCCCAGGTTGGATAGAAGTCGCACCTTTCTGCTGCCCTTACCGAAGCCCCGGGCAGAGGCGATTGACCGGGATTGTGTCTGCCTCTGTCAGTCCCACGGCTGGAGGAGAGCTCTACCTGCGCCTTGCCTGTATAACCTCCCTGGTTACTTTTGATCATGAAATGGATCGAGGCAGCTCATCTGAAAATGAGGTTGTGATCGTTGTCATTCAGTGTTGGGAGGTTATTTACTGATCCCTGCTGGATTCTCTGAACTAAGGGTCCATCCGGCTCTTTGAAGGAAGAGGTGAAAATTAGTTCATCTCTCTTTTTTTTTTTTTGCTTGCATTTCCCTATGTTTCAGATATTTCTCCACTTTTCCTGGCAACTACCGATTTTTCCTCTGCACCATAAAGAATCAGTTTTAAACTATTTTTTTTCTTCTGGAATTATATCTATAGTAGAGTATTTTTTCCAGAATTATCTGCAGACCTTTAATAGTTTTATATGGGAGCACAGCAGTCCCACTGAACTTTATACCTGTCCCTTATTCCCTTTCCTCCAATTTTTCAATGCTTTCCCCGGCTCAGACCTTTCTCTGTCTCATATCTTTCGCCCATCTTTCACAGTATCTCCCTTATACCTTTTGCAAAAAAAATTCATAAACTTAATTTTTCCTCATCTCTATATTTGACACACAATTTTTAGATAAAATCGGGTATTATGAACTATGTGACAAACCCTCAATCATAGACTGTAATTGCTACAGTTAGTGTAGTTGCTTCATTTTGAACAAAAATGACTGAGTTTAGTGACCTTCCATTGGAAGGCCTAGTTTTAATGACCTCACTGGGCAACCAGATTGAACTAGGTAAAAGTCTTACTCTTCAGTATGGTATACTCTTTAACCAACCTTTCTCATGAGTTTATTTGAGCAGATCCGATTTGCAGACACACCTCTGGAGAATGCTAAGAAACAAGATAGACTTTCTAAATGGTTGGCTTTCTATTACAGGCTGAATAGTAGCTCCTTTTAAAAATTCCTTTTAATAAGGATTATAAGGTAAAAATACAAATCAGTTTTTAAAAAGTAGCAAGTTATTTTTCACAGACAGAGGGAATTTCAGGTGCTGAAATGATCTCATTTGACAGTACCTGAAAGTATTGTGTTAAAGTATGCTTTTTAGCTTGACTCCTTAGTATCTTTCAAACTGTAGAGCAGTAGCTGTAATTTTTTCTGTAATACTTTGTTATCCCTTTATTTGTTCTATCCTGTCTTATCACTTATCTTCTTCACTTACAGATCCAAGCTGTACATGTATCTTACTCTTCTTTGAAATACTTATTCTGCTGGTACTGAAGAAGATGTCTTCCAGGAACATTCTTTGTTGTCAGACATTCCATTACTGGAGGTAGAAAATAATATAAGCATTAAAATGTGTTACAGGACATCAGAAAAAGGAAAGATGGAAAGATGCCAGAAGTGTTACATAAAACAAAATTATCTGTACTGGGAAGATGACATCTGGAAGGACTAAAGGAAGTGTATGGGAAGAGATGCAGTTTTAAAATTATAGACTGTCTTATGGGAAGAAGGCATCCTTAGAAGACTCGTGTTAAGCTAGATGCCTTTAGAACTGAAAAGTGGCTCCGACCTGTGATACTGGTCAATGGCAAAACCCGAGAATAGGGTTTTTGCCTTTATAGCCAGATTTGTTCTCTGTTCATCTTTCCCAGGAAAGTAAGACTGATCTTGGGGAATCTTTCTTGCTGTTTCCATATGTCTATCTTAAGTCATCCTAAAAAATGTTAAATTAGATTTACCTTCTTCACTAGTGTTCTGTATGATGTCTTTTCAGGATCACTACCTCTTTTACTAGTTATCTCCTATTTGACAGTACCTGAAATTCCCTCTGTCTAAAAATGTAAATGTTGAGTTGAAGTCATTGACTGGCTGAAAATAAGTGACTAAAATGTCCATAGACACGTGAGCAACAGTATAAAATAATCAGTGACCTGTTCTTTACCATGTCGAAAAAGGAGAGCAGACTAGGAACGGAGAAATGACTATACACATCGCTGGCTATAGGCTTAAAGTAAAAAGCTGACTAAAGTTTGGATTCTACAAATGACTAGCTTGGTGTCCTCTAGTTATGTACAGTTACTGAGATGGTGTGTGAGGAGATGATCAGTTTCCTGGGCAGCTGCTGGAATGTGGACTGGGGAAAAGAGCTTACTAATGCTCCGCGATTTGTTAATTATGCTGATTTGTTTTTAATGTCATTGACTTCATTTTAAAGGAGCTTCATTCTCAGAGGATTCCTTGTTCAAGGTATTGTTACATACTATTTTCCTTCTATGAAGTGTCCATGAACAGTTACAATAGATATTTTTAAGTATGTCATTGAGCTTGGCCTCGTTGGTAGAATACACTTATAATTCAGAAACCTTTTATTTCCTTCTAGCAAAAGTTCCTAACCATTTATTTACTTATTTTATTAACCTCCTTGAGGGAATAATCTTCTTTGAGAATCTAATGAAAGTCCTAGTCCATGAAGTAAATTTGGAAATAAATTCCATGGTATTGTTGAGGGGATTAAAAAATACATTGTATTTAAAATTGGAAAGACATATGTCTTTTGGTTCACGTGCATATGTATTTCTTTTATATACTTTCTACAGAATCATATCCTTGTCTCATAAGTCCTGTGCGTGTCAGCTTTAGTAGATATCTCTAATAATTCCAAAGTAATTGTACCAGTTCACCCTGTCACAGAATGGTTTGAGAGTTTCATATGCTCTATAGCCATTCATTTTGGATTTACTTGTGATTTCCTAATGATGAATGAGAGTTATCTTTTCACATGTTGTGTAGTTCCTGTTCAGTTCTCACGTGTATTTTTTTGGAGTATTTTTCTTTTTTTTTTTTTTCAGCACTTTGAAGCAGGTTCTTTATATATTCTAGATACTAATCTTTTTGTTGGTTATGTGTGTGACCAACAACATCTTCCATTCAGTGGCTTCTCACTCTGATAAGGGTCTCTTTTGATCGATGGAAGTTACTAATTTTAATATAGTTGCTTTTATTCATCATAGAACAGGAAACTCTGTCTGAAGATCGTGAGGAGATTCCCTTTGTGATTTCCAAAAAGCCTTGTTTTCTTTCACATTTAAATCGTCATCTAACCTGGAATTAATTTTGTTAAGGGTGTAATGTAGGGGGTCAAGATTTATTTTTCCCATGTGGATATTCAGTTGACATAATACTATTTATTTGAAAAAGACCATCCTTTCTCCATAAATAACTCAGTATCACCTTTGTCATAATGTATGCACGTCAATGTATGCATGATGTTTCTGGATGCTTCTGTTCACAGTTCTTCCTGTATATTGTCATAGCCTCTAAATTTTAGTTTTATAAAATGTCTCGATATCCAATGGTTTAAACCCTTTAATTCTGACCTAAAGGTTGTGTGAGTTATTCTTTATTTTTTATATTTACATATAATTTTTCAAATCAGCTTATCAATTATTACCCTCCAAAAAATTGCAGTGATACTATTGTTTGTTTGGCTGGTAGGAGGGGATGCATTGAATCTGCAGGTCAGTCTGTTGAATCTTGCGATCCTTTTTTCCTTTTAATTTGTTTTTCTAGAGGGCATATGTGCTCACTAGAGAGACACAGCGAGAGAGGGAGAAAGCACCCCTCAATGGGGCCTGGTCACACTTTAATTCCTTCTCTGTTTCTCCATCCTGTCGAGATTTAGGGCATGCACCAGCATGGTTTTTAAGTTGCCAGGACTGGAATTCAAACTGCACAGACTGCCATGTGGGATCCAGCTTCCTTAAGCAGTAGGCCATGGAGCTTGCCCACAATTGTTGTTTTCTTTGCATATTTTTCATCTAAGTGAAATCATAAGTATGTAGCTTTTTCATGTTAGTTTCTTTTCACAATTTGCATTAAGTTCCATCTATATACTTTCTATGTCTTGGTAACTAATTTCTTTTTATTGGTATGTATATACTATTGGGTTGTTTGAAAAGTCATAATGTATTTTTCTGTGTTTTTCTATGCGAAAATATGTCTTGACTTTTCTGATGACCCAATTTTTTTTTTTTTTCAAAGAGACTCTTGGTTATAGGTTGCATGTACTTGTCAGAGAGACAGAGAGACAGAAAGCAAGAAATCCGCCCCCCCCCCAAGGGGGGAAACAACTATGCCACAGTCCCTTCTCCATTCTCCTCTCAAGATTTTGGGCATACACACACATGTACCTGGTGTGAGCTTCAAACTGCGTCTGGGTCTTGAACCATGGTGGGCCATGTGGGAATTCAGCAATGTAACCATTGCGCCATCTGCTAGTTCCAGTAACCCAATATTTGAAAAAAATCTATTCACCTTCTTAAGGACATCTTAAGGAATTGGCCCCTTCCAAGTTTGTATAAATGGAAGCATTTGCATGTAGGATTTTGTGTGAACATAAATTTTCAAAGCATTCAGAGAAATATCTGGTAGCACAGTTCTTGGTTATTATATGGTAAGAAACTGCCACAGTTTTCCAAGATGTCTATACCATTTTGCATTTTCACTAGCAATAAATGAGAATTTGTGTTGCTCTTTATCTTCATAAGTACTTGGTATATCATCATTATTTTGGAGTCCATCAAAGCTATATGTAGTGGTATCTAATTGGTTTATTTTTATACGATTATCTAAATAATGATGTTGAGCATCTTTTTTTAAAATTTATACTGATATGCCATCAGTATATCTTTTTTGGTGAGATAGCTGTTCAAATCTTTTACCCAATTTTTTATTGGGATGTTTGTTTGTTTTCCAACTGACTGAAACTATGGTCAAGCAGTTGGAACCAGACCGTGGGTGGCTTTCATGTTGATAATCTGGTTTGCAAGCCTGTTACTGGAGGCATGGGTAAGCATGACTCCTTCTGGGTCCATAGGCATACAGGATGTTCTCTGGAACCTTAGACAAATGGGCTAGAGCTGAGTCCACAGGGGAATGAGACTGCTTCTGGTAGAACTAGATCCACAGTGTCTGATCTGCTACTGGGCACAGTCCTGCCTTCTTAAAGTGGCTTATTTCAGTCTTGGGATCCACTGGGGCATCTCAGTCTCCTACCTGGATCTGAATCTGGTAGCTCCCACAGGACACCTTTATGTATATGAATGGTTGTTAAATTTCCTCCCTTAAGTTTTCTGATCTCCCTAGCATTCCTGTTCATCAGATTGTGGACCCTTTTGTTTGGTCCTCTAATTTTCTTATACTTTCTCTTCCAGTTCAGCACTTTTTTCATCCTTTGTGTGACTGTAGTTTTTTTCCCTTAAACTCACCTTCTAACTTTTATTGAAACTTGTATTTTCGCTGCCACCTGTTAAGGTATGTTTTATGGCCTATAATGTGGTCCACATTAATAAACGTTCCATGTGAACTTGGGAAGATTATATTCTGTTCTTGTTGGAGAACGTGGTCTATAAATATCCACTATGTCTCATTGATTGTGTGTGCCCTTATGGATTTCTACCTACTGGATCTGCCCATTTATGATAGAGGATGTTGAAATCTCCAACTAAAATAACAAATTTATCTTTTCCTCCTTGCAGTTCTGTCAGTTTTTGCTCTATGTATTTTGATGGTGTTAATGATTATTATGTTTTCTTGGAGAATCAACTCCTTTATCATTGTATAATGCCCTTCTTTATTCCTGAAACCTTCCTTATCATTAAATCTGCTTTTACAGCTTCTGCTGCTTTGTTTTGATTAATGTTAACATAGTATATTTTCTCTATTCATTTACTTTTAGTCTATTTATGTCACTATAGTTAAAGCAGATTTCTAATAGACAATATGTAGTTTCATCTTCTCTTTTGACCTACTTTAACAATTTATGGCTTATTTTAAATTCTCATAAGCTTTTTCTCTAATTTTTTAAATAGCCTCCTTTTCTTGGGTTCAGTTTTAATATTTTATTCACATGGAGCATATTTTTGTTTTTATTTGGAAATTTTCTTTCAGTTCCTGCATTGTCTCTATTTGTAACAAGCTTTTCTTTTCTCTTCCTTTGTTTTGTATTGAAATCTGTCTTGTACAGGGAACCTTTCCTCTAACAGTAATTGACCTTTGGGCATATATTCACTATAAAGTGAGTTTCTGAATAAAGGTGCATGGATTGGGCTTATCAATGGGTGAGCTTTACAGCACGCTTATTGGGAAAGAACCTGGCTTTTTCAGTGGGGCCTCCCTTCAATATTAGCAGTGTTAGGATGTTTTGGTCTAGGTTTATCTACTTCCTCCAGTAGGAACTTAACAATCTGTTGCCATGGAGGATGTAAATTTGGCAAATACTTTTCTTGAAGCTGAGGAAACTATACTACATATATAACATACAGGTTGTACATCCTTAATTTGGAAATTGAAAGTCCAAACTAACTCCAAAATCTGAATCTTTCAGAGCACTGACCTCACACCTCAAGTGGAAAATCCTACACCTAACTTTGTGTTGGGTCATAATCAAAATGCTGCAATGCAAAATTATCATGAAAAATTACCTTCAGGCTATGTGCATAAAGTATATAGGAAACATAACTGAATTTCCATGTTTAGACTTGGGTCCTAGCCCGATATACCTCATGTGATATTCCAAAATCTATAACACTTTTGGTCCTGGGCATTTCAGATAAGGGGTACTCAATCTGTACAAATGCATTTTATCTGTAATATTTTTGCCTTTCAGCACTTGTTCTGTACTCTCTGCTTTGCCTGGATTTTTCAAATTTAGTGCTTCCTTGGTTCAGTTTCTTTAGAGTATAAAACTTTCCAGGGAAGTCATTGCTTAACTGAGCAAGTTCTATGTGTGAGGGTTCCAGGGAAGTAGGAAAGTAAACATCTCGGGTTTAGCTGCTCCTTGTATAGACTTCTAGATAATCATTCCTGTTTCAGCCCCTCTCACCTTTCAGAAGTACCAGGTGCCCCTCATTTGAGACCTTAGCTTAACTTCTGTTGCTTCCTCCTAAATAGGCCTGTCTCTGCTCTGCTAGGTTGGTTACTGCTCATCCTTCTGCTTCCCGTTTTCCAAAGTTTTGTTACTAGAGTCAGTGCTACGTGGAATCCTCTCTAGGTATCTCTGTTCTGTGGAATCCCCTCTGGTTCTCTTTTTCCTGTTGGATGTACATGAGTAAGTTTTAATTATTTACTTTGATTTTAGTGGTGTTCAGAAAATGAAAGTAGCATTCATTTCATCTGTCATACCTACATATTTTTAAAGTTCATCTATTCTATTTTTACTTTTTAAAGAAAGTCATCCAATTAGCAGCTATATAAGGTCAGAGCCCTGGAGGAAAAAATTACTAAAATCCATGCTAAATTTATTTGCCACCATTTTTACTGGTTATATTATATACCTTCTATAAGCATCCAAAGTAGTCATTGATAGATGTTATTTCAACGTGTTCATTGATAGGTGTTATTTCAACTTGTTATGTCTTCCCAAATAGTACTTTATTGTTGAAAATACTGTAATTGAGATGGTGTCAGATGAGGCACATTATAAAAACTCCAATATAAGGCAAACTTACGGTTTTTATAAGGGAAAAGTGCTGATGAGTAGAGGAAGGAACCACCTTATGTTTAGGAGTTTATTTGACCATTAGGGAGGGTAACTTAGGGAAAAAAAGCTAGGGTAACATGTTTACGGTACCCACCAATAGGAAATGCAAACAAAATTGAAAACCTTCAAAAAAATACACAATGTTTTATGATTTTTTTATCTCTAGGTGAAAAACTTGAATATTTCAAGAGTTGGAGCTGAATCTGATGTCAAATGATGGCAACAGGTGACTTAAAAAGAAGTTTGCGGAACTTAGAACAAGTACTGCGCTCACTAAATTATCCTAAAGAGGTGGATTGTGTAGGGTAAGCTATAATGTCACACTTATTTCTATTCTGTTTTAGCTAGTGGTTTGAGATGATGATTGACATAGGATAGTACCTAAAGAAAAAAACGAATCTTACCCGAATCTCATTTAAATTTACATTGAAATGATTAAAATATTTGAGAAAACAGAATTAACAGGACTTTCTAAGTGTAGATTACTGCAAATTTCCAACTCAAGAAATTTTTTATAGAATTATTTATTTATTGTCATTATTTTTCTGTTTCGACTAGAGAGAGACAGACAGAGAGAGAGAGCAAGCCACCATGCCCAGCCCTCAAACCGCAGTTGGCCATGTGGGGATCTAGCACTCTAAGCCACTATGCCACCTGCCAGCTCCCCAACCCAAGAAATTAAGAAGCACGGTGTGTATCAGTATAAGGTATGATCTCTGTACTATTGTAATTTTAAACTCATGGAAGCAGAATGGATTTTTTAGTTATTTAATCTACCACTTTCTCATATTCAGTTGAATGGTGTTACTTATTTTTAACTGTATTCACAATGAGCAGAGATTGTTGCCATTTTTTGCCAGTCTATTTCTTTGTTTCTTTTATGGAGGATAGGTTTTATACATTTAAGCTGTATGTTCTTTGTGATATAGAAAACTCTAGTTAGTAGATTTCTTATGGCAGCTAGATTGTTCAGGTAATCCATTCAAGAGAACCTGCTTTGGGGACCAGCAGTTGGCATAATGGCTATGTTGCTGGACTCCCATGTAGTTGACCGGGGTTCAAGTCCCAGACCTGGTGGCTTAAATTCACCCTGGGCACGTTTGCATGTGTGCGCAAGATCCCAAGAGGAGATCTCTGTCTCTCTGTCTTTCTCTTTCTGGCGAGTGCATGCGCCCTATAGCAAAAACCTCTCAAGAAAAAAAAAAGAGAGAGAGAACCTGTTTGAACCTTTTGCTTAGCTTCCATTTGCCAACTCTCACTCACTTGCTTTTGTAGAATTAGCAACCTACATTTCTCCTATATTCATGCCTGTCTAGTTTTGTACTTTTGTCATTCTCTTTCTTTTAATACTTATTTTTTCTTCACATTTATCCTTGCCTGTTATTGTCCGCCCAGGGGCTTGGGTCTAGTTGAATCATGATCAGGGGGCTGATGGTGATAAAGAGAAATAGGAAGAGAAAGAGGAAGCCCTTCATCTTGAGAGGACCAGGGAATGGGAAAGAATGAGACAAAGAGACAGAGTAACAGCAGACACAGGCAGCCTGAGCCTAGGTAGGCCAAGCCACTTTTGCCTCGGCTTTTGTGGCCCGACAAGTCACAGAGTAACAGCAGACACAGGCAGCCTGAGCCTAGGTAGCCCAAGCAACTTTTGCCTCGGCTTGAGTGCCCAGACAAACTGGGCATCTTTATTTATAGTACAAGGAGACACTACACATGTATATTTCACGACAATTCATAGATTCGTTGCTAGGTTACAGACAATAAGAAGCAGGTAACAAATCTAAAAGAGCTTAGACATACTGGGCACATGTATCCCTTGGCGATAATCCCATCAAGAGAAAATCCCATTATCTTCTAATGGAGAGAGATCTAGCCCCAGGTGTGGGGAAGAAACATAGGCTAAATAATCTCTCCACAATGCATGCACCACCACACCCAAAGAAGGCTTAAGAATCTCTCCATAAGGTATACACCACCACACCCAGAGAAGGCTAAAGCATCTTTCAGGTGCAGAGCAGGGATTGGACTTTGCTAATTTGGGGTCAAGATGTTTCCTGTTGGAATGCCCCTAGTAATTTCCACCCTTTGCTCTGCCTGCAGTGAGGGTCAAGGAAAGGACAAGTCACAAGTTTCTGCCAAAGCCCAAAAGGACAGGTGGTGTTTGCTCAGAGCATGTCCGCATACCTCACTCAGGGCCCCTCCATGAATATGTCCCTACATGCTATTACTCATCTATCAGTTGAGTGTTTTCTCCACTAGGGTATTAACCGAAATGCGAGGCTTTCTTGAGCTTACTACAGTATCACTGCACTTGCGAATTTGGAATTGATTGCACATTTATTGAATTAATGAGTATCAAAGTACAAGTCCATGTTAGGTCTATGATCATATATTAGAGTAAACCTTAGTTAAGCCAACTACTGAATAGAATCATCGAGTAATGGGCTTCTCACTTAAGAATGGCTATCTTAATTGTATGTTAGGGAGAGAGCCAACACCAAGAGAAGCTGCAAATAAAGAGTGTCAGGATAGAAAGGAGAAGGTGTATCTCTAATTACAGTTATTTATAGGCATTCCTATATGTGAGAAGCAATCCATACTGTGTACCTATCATCTTGGTTCCTCAAAACAGAAAAATCTTCACTGTCAGAACTTCAGGGACTTGATCAATTTGAGTAGCCAATTTGGTTTTGGGCCAGGAAATACATGCATGCACCAGAATCAGAAGAAAGAGAGGAAGCACCCTTCAATGATGCATGGTCACACTGCAATCCCTTTTCCTCCATTTCTCTGTCCTGTCAATACCTTTGGTGCATGTGCACACACGTGTCTGGTATGGTTTTCTTTCTTTTTCTGTTTTTTTTTGGGTTTTTTTTGAAGAGTTATTTTATTTAACTTTATTTGTTTATTTATTTAAATTTGGCCAGAGAGGGACAGAGTCAGAGAAAGAGACAGGGAAAGTGAGAAAGCAAGCCACCAAGTCTGTAGCTTACACCATGGTTGGTCACGCGGGAGTGTCCAGCACCTTAACCACCATACTACCTACTGGTCCATTTAAAATTGTTTTTCTGGGAACCAGCAGTTAGCATAATGGCTATGTTGCTGGACTCCCACGTAGTCGACCACGGTTCGCGTTCTGGACCCGGTGGCTTAGAACTCACGCCGGGCGCATGTGCATGCGTGCCCAAGATCCTGAGAGGAGAATGGAGGAGAAGGGATTGCAGCATGACCATTCCCCCTGGGGGGTGATTTCTCGATTTCTGTCTCTATGTCTCTCTGTCTGTCTGGCGAGCGTATGCGCCCTATAGTGAAAACCTCTCAAAAAAAAATTCTTTTTCTTTCTTGGCATTTATATATTTTTGTATTGGTATGCCAGTTTGTTATATCTGTTTTTTGTTTGTTTACTACTTGTAATCTGCTAGTACTTAGAAACTAGATAATCAAGATTTTTGAGATTGTTTAACATACAAAGTGTTAAATGTAGACCTGACTGCCATCAATTCATGATCTGAATTGTACAGATTTTATTGTTCAAAGATAATTTTTTTCCCTTCCTGGTTTTGCGTTGTATTCCATGTAGACAATGTTGTCAGAAAAGTTTTCTGATTGGGTGAAGTATTATTGTACTCATAAAGACACTTAGAAGAGAAATTATATGTATTTTCCTGAGGGGGGAAAAAAACAACGAAGTACAGTGTTATCAACCCCAAGTATTGGGTCATTGGAAAAATCATGACGAATTTTTGCATAGAAAAATATAGAAAAATACGCCATGACTTTTTAGACCACTCAATATTTGTTTCCTTTCTTATTAAATATTTGAATGGGGAGATTTATGCATGCATCTTGAATTTTGTAAAGACCATTTATTTATATTTTATACAAGTACAGTATTACTTCAGTTGAACAGATAGAACTAAATGAAGAAATTCCTCCTGTGTTTTGTTCTGGGAAAATCAGTGAAGTACTTCACATTGAGAAAATAAGACAGGAAGCTGTACAAGTATGAAGCATCAGATGCTCAATACCTTGGGAATCATTCTGGGAGAGATCAGTATGGATCAGAAAGTTGAGGAGGGATGGCTTCGTAGAAGACTTGAGATTTGATGAATGATTCATAAAGAATAGTAAGATGGACAGAGAAAAGTGGAATACCTTGCTAGACTGGAGAAATTAGTATAAGCTAATAAGGTTCCAGTGTTGATTGAGTAGAAGATAGTAAACTGCTCAGCCTGTTCACAGTACATGCTTTTTCCAACCTGCTTTTCTCATCTGAAACTTAGAATTCATGATACTTATCTACTTAGAATTCAGAATATTTAAACTTTCTTTTTTTTTTTTTTTTTTTTTTGAGAGGTTTTTGCTATAGGGCTCGTGCGCTCACCAGAAAGACAGAGACAGAAAGAGAGAAATCACCCCCCCGCCCCCAGGGGGCATGGCCACACCACAATCCCTTCTCCTCCTTTTTCCTCTTGGGATCTTGGGCACGCATGCACATGCGCCCAGTGTGAGTTTAAGCCACCGGGTCCGGGACTCGAACCGCTGTCGACTACATGGGAGTCCAGTGACATAGCCATTATGCTAACTGCTAGTCCAGAATATTTAAACTTTGTAAGTTGTGGTGGAGAGCAAGTGAGCTAATGTAACAAGTACTTACAAAACCTTAAGTATACTTATGGTACAGGAAGATATTAATAGTATTGGGTCATCAAAAAAATCATGGCATATTTCTATGCAAACATATGACTTTTCTGATGACTCAATACATCTGTTTCATTAGTAGGAGTAGATTAAGACTAAGCTTTGGAAAAATCAATAAATATTATGGTAAATAGACTGCTGAAACTAAGACCTAAGTAGTAAGTTAGTTTTGTTTCTTTTTTTTAAGACTTTTGCCATAAGGCGGATGTGTTTGCCAGAGAGACAGAGAAAAGGACAGTGAGAAATCATTCCCCAGGAGGGATGGCCATACCATACTCCCTTCTCCTCTGTTCTCCTCTTGAGATTATTGGCACACTTGCACATGCACCTGGCATGAGTTTCAAGCCATTGGATCCAGGACTTGAACCATTGTCAGCCATGCAAGAGTCCCGTGCCTTAACTACCAGCCACCTGCTGGCCCCTATAGTAAGTTTTTGAGCAGATGTGCAATACATACAATACAATACATTCCTACCAGTTTGACTAGACTGGTTTAGAGTGGAGGATGTCATGCATTATTTAATTAGTAGTCTATAGTGTTAAGTCAGAAATGATTGACATTGCTAACATTTCCTTGATTCTCTAACTCTATGAAATTATGCTCATTAAAATTCTTTTTCTTTTTTCCCTAACAGTTTGATAAAGGGAGACACAGCAGCATCCTTGCCCATCATCAGCTATTCGCTTACCTCATATTCACCTTATGTAACAGAATTTCTCATGGAATCCAATATAGAGCTCATAGCAAAGAATGACTTGCGCTTTATAGATGCTGTCTATAAGGTACTTTTGGTTTATGAAACAATAATTATTTTAGAAGTTGTTGAATGATTTTTAAACATTACTGTTTTAGTAGTAGTAACTCATGAATGCAGTACATAGAGCCAAAAGATATTCTTCATAAAATATAAAGGTATTTTTGAAAATATATTCATAAATCAATATGTAAATATTTATATTTATTTGTAAATTCAGTTCCTATTGAAATCAAGATCCAATGCAGTTCACTTTGTTATAGTTTCCTTTTTTTTAGGTTTTTGCCTTAGGGCACATGTGCTTGCCAAAGAGACAGAAGGAAAGTGAAAAATCTCCCCCTAGGGGCATGCCCATGCCACAGTCCCTTCTCCATTCTCATCTCTGATTTTGGGCACGCACACCCAGCCTGACTCATCTTTTTTTTTTTTAAGGATTTATTTATTTATTTAATCCCATTTGTTGTTATTATTTTTAAATTTGACCAGAGAGAGAGAGAGAGAGAAAGGAAAAGCAAGAAAGCAAGCTGCCAGGTCTGGGACTTGAACGACGGTCAGCAATGTGGGAATCCAGCACCTTTAACCACCACAACTTTTAAAGTCACCTGGTCTGTGGCCCAACTATGGTTGGGCCTTGTAGGAGTCCAGTGTCTTGACCACTGTGCCATCTGCTGGCCCCCAGTTTCCTATTCTGGTAAATATGACAACTGGAAAATATTTGCTAGTGGCTTTCATTAGCTCTTTTTGTTTCATATTTTAGTAAAATTAGGTCTATTGGCAGAATTTAGAGAGAAATATTCTATCCAGTAAAAGATGTGGTTCTTGGAGGTATGAGTTAATTTATTCATAAGAAGGAACTAAATTTTTGACTTACATGTTTTTTGAGATCTGAGATCGTGTGTTATATTTAATCTACCATTATATTTTTATTCCATATCTATACTGAATTTAATCTACTATTTCTTTTTAAAAAACCCTACTTTTACAGTTAATTTTTATTCAAATACTCTGTTTGCTTAACTTTGTTTTAAATGGTAAAGCTTATTTATCAAATCTTAATTTCTTTTTTAAAGATGAGTTTTATTTGATTAAATGGGAGCTTTTATGTGTAGAGTCTCTGTTTTAATCTTCCCATTCTTTGCTAGCAATTCTAAAAATCTTCTGTGAAAGCTTTAGAAACTGTTTAAGAAATTCTAAGGTTCTGCAGATCAGATTTTGGAAGCTACTGATCTAGTCTTCTACTTTTATTGTCTTGTCTAAAAATCGGTAGTGGAATAATTATAAACAAATAAAACTATGCTTTCCTGACATTTAATATGATAGTCTAGTGAGCTAAGGAGTTTTTCTAGTACATATGAGGATTTTGCACTTACCAATGATTGCCTGTATTTTTCTGTTTCTTTGAACAGCCATCTTTTCTCTTCACTGTTGCATCTCTAGTTACTGACTTTGTTCCAGGATACCTTTCTCACCTGTCATGACTCATACCAACCCTCTAAGTCTCCTTAGTACCTTTTAGTTAATGGCCTGATCCTCCTGGTCCTCTCAAAGGTGCCCATTACTTTTCTGACCAGGAAACCATTTATTAATATAATTTTGAATTTCAAAAAGGAATTACTTCTAATTCTTACATTGGTCTTCCTCTTTCCAGATTCTTCGCGATCAGTTTAATTACAAACCAATTTTGACAAAAAAGCAATTTATCCAATGTGGGTTTGCAGAATGGAAAATCCAAATTATTTGTGATATTTTGCATTGTGTGATGAAAAAGCACAAGGAACTCAGTAGTATTGAGAAGGTAATTTTTATGACTAGATCTTCATGCTAGATCTTATGCCCGGGATTTAAATGTTTAAAATCACTACCCTAGACTGCAAATCATCGCCTAGTACAATTAGTGCTTAATTCACCAGTTTGGATAACCTTATAAAGCTTGATGTTTGCTTTAAATACCAGTCACATGTTTTCACACATCTGTGACTTAGAGCTGGAAGTTCTAAACCAGTGGTTCATAAAGCATTTCCCCCACTTCTTAGTTTTTGAAAGAAATGTTGTCTCATCATTGGAATTTTATTATTTGTCAGTTATATCATAAATGTGAAAAATTAAATTATAACAGAATGTCAATATACATTATGATTTACCACAAAATTTGTTATTATATCTAATACTTTTTTGTTTCTAAGACTCCATCACAGCAAAGAAAAAAAATCAGTTCTGGTAAGCCAGAACCCTCTTCAAGCAGTGAGAAAATATGTGCAGAACCTGTGGGCATTGACATCACTGGCAGGTTTATGACTTCAGGAAAGGTATGAAAATACAAAGAAAACCTATCAGTAGTATAAGAGTTATCGGGACCAGCAGTTGGTGTAATGGCTATGTCACTAGACTACCATGTAGTCAACCACAGTTCAAGTCCTAGACCCGGTAGCTTAAACTCATGCTGGGTGCCTGTGCATGTGTGCCCACGATCCCGAGAGGAGAATGGAGAAAGGATTGTGGTGTGGCCATCCAACCTGGGGGTGATTTCTTGCTTTCTATCTCTCTGTCTCTTTCTGGCAAGCATATGTGCCCTATAGCAAAAACCTCTCCAAAAAAAAAAAAAAGTAATATAAGAGTTATTTACTTGATTAATCCAATATACAAGGTTCTCTTTTCTGACTGGTACCTGTTGAAACATTCTAGTCAAATATAAAAGCTTAGCGATTTTTTTTTTTCCTCTAGGGCACGTGCGCTAGCCAGAAAGACAGAGACAGAAAGCCAGAAATCACCCCCTATGGGGGATGGCCACGCCGGAGTCCCTTCTTCCCCATTCTCTCAGGATCTTGGGCATACATATACACGTTCCCATCATGAATTTAAGCCACCAGGTCCGGAATTCGAACTGCAGTCGACTACATGGGAGTCCATTGACATAGCCATTTTGCCATCTGCTTAGGGATTTTTAATAACACTTAACATGTATTTTCTAGGTAACATTCTTAAAGTTATAACAGGAGGATAAAAAAGTAAAAATGAACAAGCTTTTTTTATTTCCAATTTCTATTTCTACCTTATTTCCTAGATAGAATGGCAGTAGTTTAGGAGGTTTATATGAGGGGTCTTCAGACATTTCACCAAAAATGCATATTATGAAAAAACAATGCATGGGTTTAATTTAATTTTTTTTACACCAAGGTGACACTTGTACTCTGTTTTTTACTTTCCAGAGGGCATTTGTGCTCACCAGAGAGAGGGAGAAAGAGAGAAAAAAGAAAAGGGAAAAAAAAAGAAAAAAGCCCTCAATTTGGTTTAGTTACATCACAATCCCTTCTCCATATCTCCATCCTGTCAGGATTTTGGGCATGTTTGCACATGCGCCCAGCAGATTTAGCAAGCCTTCAGGAGGGACGTATGTAGTCAGCCATGTGGCATCCAGCGCCCTTAACCACTAAGCTATGGGACCAGCTCTCATACTTTATTTTTTCCACCAAATTTTTGAAATTCTCTCATATTATGGAATCATCTACATTTACTGCTTTTTAAAAATTAATTATTTTTTTTTATTCATTCATTTATTTATTTATAGTTTTATTTGACCGGAGTGAGAGAGAGAGAGAGAGAGAGAGAAAACAAGCCGCCAGGTCTGGGACTCAAACCGCAGTCATCCACGTGAGAGTCCAGCGCCCTTAACCACCATGCCATTTGCCGACCCCTCTGCATTTCTTCATTTCATATCTGGTCTTTCTAAAACATAAGAATATATAAAGAGCCGAACATTAGTAATAGTGATAGTTTATAATGATTCATTTACATATGTTCATATTTCTGTAACCAGAAGTATGAATTTTTAGCCTAGAATCTGGTTTTAGGTTAGTATTTTGAATATTTTCTATTTAGTGATAGATAACTTCTCTGTCTCTTTCTGCTTTGAGTGTCTATGACTAAATGAGTCTAGTGCATAGAAATTCAGTTTTTTATGTACAAAGGAGAGTTAAGCCAAAATATTATTTTATAATAATAAGTGTACTTTCAGCTGTCTTCCATCTGGGGAAAACTTGCTGAGATTAAAGAATAGAATGCTGGATGAATAATCCATGTGTAATTAGATAAAGGTTGTGAATAGTTTCTGGCTAAAGTAAAATCTAAAGAATTGTGTCCTATTCTAATTGTACATGTGTTACATAAATAGAATCTGTTAAAAGATATATATTTATATTGTTATGCCTTTTGTTTAAAAAGTGAAGTTTTCTTATAAGAAATGGTTCTTGTACCAGTAACTTTTTTCTTTCTTTCTTTCTTTTTTTTTTTTTGTTTTTAATGTGCCTGCTTTGCTTTGGGTAATCTGGGCAGTTAAGAGAAAGAACTATAAGGGGCATGGTTTCTGAATAAGTGCATGTAACTCTTGTCTACTTAACATTTCTCACTCACCTACTTTTTGTTAGTTTTAAATGATCTTATTTTCTGTTAAGCGATTTATATCTTGTTTCCATCCCCAACTAGAATATATGTAAACCAGGCCTTACTTTTACTGATAAGTTTTTTAAAAACTTTGTGCTTAGCACAATACCAGGCATGCCATAAGCACTTATTAAATATGAGTTACTAACTATAATTTTCAAACTCGTATTTTAGGATGGGAGTTGGGGTAATCTAAATTATCCTAACAGAAAAGTTTTAAATTCTAAGACGGTTAAACTTGTTTAACTGGGACCTCAAAGGTGGTCTGGGCAACAGTGAGAGACCCTGTCTAAAAAGGAGATGGGCATGATGCCATACTCCTCTAATGTCAGCTGGGAGGCTGAGGCAGGAGGATCCCTGCACGGCAAGACCCTGTCTGAAAAAATAAAAATCAAGTGAATAGTAAAACGGATTGTCACTTTTCCCAATGCCTTACACAGAATGCTATTTGTGACGTCTGTATAATAGTTTGTAGTATTTTGATATATACTTTCACGTGCTAATTTAACTTTTTTAAGTATGTAAAGGAAGATAGAATGTTTCTTTTGTAAAATTACTATGTGTCTATTTATAACAATTGTGATTAAAAAGCACAGAATTATTCCTGACAAGTTTTCCTCTATGCAGAAGAAAGCTGTGGTGATCCGTCACCTGTATAGTGAAGATAGTGGGGACATGTCTGAAGATACAATAAGTACAGTAACAGATGTTAATGAGGCATTTGATGTGTCTGACTTAAAGACTACAGAAATAAATATTCCTGAAGTAACGGTCCCTGAGATCAAGACTGAGCAACAAGTAAGAATTTTGAACTTCTTCAACACATGCTGATTTTTCTTATTTTTATGTATATGATTATTTCAGCATCTCAACTTTGGAGGATTTCTAATCTTCTGTGTTATTAATTATGGCACATTGCCTATATTATCATTGCTTAAGAATCAATAAATCTTACTGAATATAATTCAACAGATATTGTTTGCTGCCTGTGTTTAAAGTACTGGGCTATGTGTTACGGGTAATGCAAAAATGAATGAGACCTAGGGACCAGCAGTTAGCGTAATGGCTATGTCGCTGGACTCCCACGATGTTGACCGCGGTTCAAGTCCCGGACCCAGTGGCTTAAAACTCATGCCAGGTGCACGTGCATGCATGCCTAAAATCCCGAGAGGAGAATGGAGGAGAAGGGATTGTGGCGTAGCCATCCCCCCCCTCCCTGGGGTGTGATTTCTCACTTTCTGTCTCTCTGTCTCTCTCTGTCTATCTGGTGAGCACACGCGCCCTATAGCAAAAACCTCTCCAAAAAAAAAAGAAAAAAAAATGAATGAGACCTAGTACTTGACTTCAAGGAATTAACAGTCTAGTGAGAGATAGAAAAATGCTGTTTTGTAGTGGAGGCTTTTTATCACCTGTGTGCTGAACTGGTGATTGGAAAAGAATGGTACTTCATTCCTTTTCATTTTTTTTCTAGGTCCTTGCTGTCCTTTCCTGATCTCTCTTAGAATACCATTTTTGTACTATATCTGCTAAAACGTCTTTTTTCTATGTATCTTCTATGTCACATGACTTCTATACGAGGGGACTTCAAAAAATTCATGGGAAAATGGAACCGAAATGCCATTTTATTTTGATGTAAACAATTTTGAAATCCACATACTTTTTTTCATAATACCTATTTTTCATGAATTTTGGAAGACACCTCTCCCCCAGGAGATCTCAGTGTACAGGTAGCATTTATAAAAACTAACAAGTGGTCTGGATTTACTTCTTATATGGCAAACTGAACAATCTGAATACACCGGTGTGGTTTTTAGCCATTCCCTCTTAGCGACGTGCTAGGTGGTGTTGCAAGAAAGTCGAGTTTTATTGTGCTACCTGGTATTGTTGAAAAGCGTTAGGCACATGAACTCATTCACTCCTCACAAGAACAATATTGTTATCTCTGCTTTCTGAGAGGAGAAATTGGAGATGTCTGGGTCACAAGTCTCAGAATGCACTAGTTTGAGTGTTTAAGTAGTCTGCCTTCAGAGAGCACTGTTAACTCTCATGCTATAGTGTCGAACTATTGAAATCACACAGTGGAAATGGACATACATTGATTTTTAAAAAGAACTTCATTCTGTGTAATAATATTTTTTAACCTTTCTAAACATTTTAGGATGTAAAAGTTAATGCTGAGATCACTACACTTCAGACTATGCTTGCTGAATGCCAAGATAAACTTAACAAACTGACCTGGATAGAGAAAAGGTTAAACTATTTGGAAGAAAAAATGAAAGGAAAAGTGATGGTAAACGAAAAGACCTGGACTAATCTGCTAAGTCGTGTCACCCTTCTCGAAACAGAAATGCTTTTGTCTAAAAAGGTATTTTCTTTAAAATGTATAGACGATTTTAAATATAATATTTCTTTTATTGTTTTACGTATCTCCTTTTGGAAATACAAAAGAAGAGGCTATTTAGGTAATGGGAGAATAATGAGTTAGAATGAAGTCCTATTTGAATATAGCCTGTTTTGTTGTTATAGCTATTGTTTTTCTCTTCCTCAGATAGGATCATCTAAAAATCTGCAAGTTGAGGTTTTTAAGCTATTAGTGATACTTGACATTTTTAATAAAGAATATAATCGACTTTCTCTATGAAAAGCTTGAAGTAATTTTATATCTCATAAGTTCAAATGGCCTTATTTCATATAGTGAAGTAAACAGAAGTTGATAGGAAAGGAAAACTTGCAACATTTTTTTTCTCGTTATTATTTATTTAAATTATTTAGTGAATTTCATAGAAATAGTAATCAGCTTTGTCATTGCTTCATTGAATCTGAGAAATTTGTTTTACTCAGTATTTTAATTTCTGACTTATCTTTTCTTTCTAGAAGGTAAAGTCAATGGATTTAAGGAACTTTCTTTCTACATTATTTCTTTTTTTTCTTTTTTTTGAGAGATTTTCACTATAGGGCGTGTGCACTCGCCAGAAAGACAGAGACAGATATGGAGACAGGAAGCGAGAAATCACCCCCCAGGGAGGATGGTCACGCCGCAATCCCTTCTCCTCCATTCTCCTCTCGGGATCTTGGGCACGCATGCACACGCGCCCATCGTGAGTTTTAAGCCACTGGGTCCGGGACGCCAACCGCGGTGGACTATGTGGGAGTCCAGCGACACAGCCATTACGCTAACTGCTGGTTCCCTACATTATTTCTTATATATTAACATTTTACATGTTAAGTAAAATAATTAAAAATTTAAACATATTTCATGACATCTTATACTTTACACTTGGCAGTAAGAATATAAAGTGTGGGACCAGCAGTTAGCATAAAGACTATGTCGCTGAACTCCCATGTAGCCGACTGCAGTTTGAGTCCCAGACCTGGTGGCTTAAACTCACGCTGGGTGCATGTGTGTGCGTACCCAGGATCCCGAGAGGGGAATGGACGGGAAGGGATTGTGACATGGCCATGCCCCGTAGGGGGTAGTTTCTCACTTTCTCTCTCGGTCTCTCTCTGTCTTTCTGGCGAGCACACACACCCTATAGCAAAAACCTCTCAAAAAATAAAAGAATGTAAAGTGTGAACATTTTTCCTTTTCATTTTATTCTTAATACTAAACTGTATTATTCCAGAATGCTGAATATATAGAGTTAAATGAAATGAGTGAAGACTGCACTTCCAGTAGTGACACGGATCTTCTCAATCCCGGTGAGTTCTTAAGTGGTATTAGTATTGTAATGTGATAAGGAGTTTTCAGAAAAACAATTTTTATGGATGTTTGATCATTTTAATATTCTCAAGCCTTATCTTTTAGAAATTGCAAAAGCTCTTAGAACAAAAATAATGAACTGACACACTTATTAAAGCCAAGGATTTGCTAAGAAGCCAGCTTATATATCTTACATATAATACAGCAGGTGACTAAGCTCCAATGTACAAAATTGAAAATGTTTAGAGATATTTTACTTTTAATTGTTCTAGCATAACAGAGGACTCTACACTATTAAAATTGGCATTCAGAGTTTCTAATTTAAATTTAGTCAGTAACTTTCTCATCTTAAGTAATATATGTAAGAAAAAAAATTTGTCAATAACCTTGCAAAGTGTAACAAACTTCTTGCATTCGAACAGTTCTCTGATGATAATAAATTGAGAAAGATCTCCACATTACTTAACAAGCTTCTGATATTTTCAGTATGACTGAATAGCAAACATAAGATTTCTGTTCCTTATGCCAGACACGTTTGCATGTGTACTCAAAATTCTGAAAGTAAAATGGAGAAGAGACTGTGGCATGGCCATCCCCCTTGGGGGATGATTTCCCACTTTTTCTCTTTCTCTCTATCTCTGGTGAGCACACATACCCTATAGCAAAACCGAAAAACAAACAAACCAAAAATATTTCCGTTCTGTTTTTTAACAATAGCTTTTTTTTTTTTGATTCTTATATCTGTTGGAAAGACTAACATTTTGTCTCATGCCTATGATTAAATCATATTTATAGAAGAAACACTTTATCCAATTTGGTGATTTACTCATATTTGTAGAAGAGGCATTTTGTCTAATTGAGAATAATTCATCATGAAGTTAAATGTTAATACCTTTGACTGTCTAACATAAAATCTTTCGGCTGCTACCTATTCAATAATAATAGTGGGCCAACAGGTGCATGGTGGTTAAGGCACTAGATCACACATGGCCGACTGCACAATTTGAGTCCCAGACTGGAGGCCCAAAAACACACCGGGCGCTTGTGAGTGCCTGCCCAAAATCCCTAGAGGAGAATAGAATAGATTGCAGCATAGCCATCCCCTCTGGGCATTGATTTCTCACTTTCCCTCTCTCTTTCTCTGTCTTCTCTCTCTCTCTCTCTCTCGCACTCTTTCTCTCCCTCTCGTGAATGTACATAACCTATGGCAAAAATATAAAATAAAATAATAATGATACAACATCTTTTGCACTAACTATTGCCTGGCACTGTTCTAATTAATAACTCACTTAATTCTCAGAGCAGACCTATAAGATAAGTACTAGTATTATCCGTATTTTATTTATGAAGATACTGAGATATGATGGGGTTAACTAATTATGCCAAAGGTCAGATGGTTATTGAATGGTGGAGCAGATTGACTAAATCCAGGCAGTGGTCTTTGGAATTTTTTGTTAACCAGTACTTGTTTAGTATACATACCAGTTTCATTGTGCAGAGACTAATTTCAGTTATTAAATTAGTAAATATAATTATTTGACAAACTATTTCAGGCACTAAATTTATTACAGACTCCAAATTTCAGATAAATGTTTACTTTTTTATTTATCCATTTGTATGTTTATTTAATAAATATCAAAATTTAACTCAAGATTCTTGAGAGCAAAAACTGTCTTTTGGTTTAATAGATTCAAAGTGTATCTGTACTTTTATTTCTAGTATCTGCATATAGTAAAGTTCTCATTTTTATGTGTGCTATTATTTACAAAACATTTCCTTTACAAATTTGATTTTTATACATTTGGGTTTACTTATTTATTTATTTAGTCAGAGGGCACATGTGCTTGTTTGAGAAAGACAGAAAGAGGGAGAGGAGACAGCATCCCTCCATAGGAAGTGATCAAGCCATAATCAATCCCTTCTCCACCATCTCTCTCACCTTTTGGGATTTTGAGCGTACGTGCACATGAACCCGGCATGTTTCTCAGGTCACCAGGTCCTGAATTCTAAGCATGGGGTTGGCCATGAGCGATTTTTGTGGTGTTGTTATTTTTTTTAAGCATTTTTATTTATTTCTTCCATAAGAAAGATCCAGCAGGGTCTGCATGCTACAGTCCACCTTCAGTCTCAGCCAACCCAGCTCATGGGCCTGTGCACATGCCCGACTTAAAAAAAGTTCATTTACAGAACAATAATAAAAGTCTGGGGAGTCAGCTAGTGGCATGATGATTAAGGTGACTGGATCCCATGTGGTTATGCATTAGCGTTCCGAACTGGTGACTTGAAAAACATGCCAGGAGCGTGTATGTGCATTCTGAAAATCCCAAAAAGAGGAAAAAATGGAGAACTGATTATGGTGTGACCATCTCCCATGGGGGGTGCTTTCTCACTTTCTCTCTCTTTGGTAAGCCTATGTGTCCTCTGGCACATTACAAAAAAAAAATTGTGAAATGCTTAGACGTTGTTGAATGAAAGCATCATAAAAATGTATTGATATTTGTTATTTAGTATATTGGATACTACCATTTTAAAAAAGCATACACATATCAGTAGCTAATATTTAAGGATTAATTGGGGCTAGATGTGATGCAGTAGTTTCTACAAGGGTGACCTTCGTGGGAAGGTTTCAGATTCATGTCTCGAAACTTATGCCCATGATCCAGGGCAGGCTGAAGCTGGGGTTGTATCATAGCTCTGAAGCTGTGGGGGGTGCTGTTTCTCTCTCTTTGTCTTTATTGCATGTGGAAGAAATAAATAATTTTTTATAATAACTTTATGTTTATTCAAACTGCTATCATGATAAAGACAATATTGTCTTTTGTCATTTTTGTTTATGAGATATTTTTGCTATAGGGCACGTGTATTTGCTGGAGAGAGAAAGAGGCGGAAAGTGAGAAATCACCCCCTGGGGAGGTGGCCACACCCACAATCCCTTCTCCATTCTTCTCTTGGGATATTGGGCACACATGCACACGCCCCTCACATGAGTTTCAAGCCACTGGGTCCGGGACTCGAACCACTGTTGACTACATGGGAGTCCCATTATACCACCATTAGGTAACCATTATGCCACCTTGCTGGTCCTGCCTTTTATAATTTTGATTGGCCAATTTTCAACATCTTCATCTGTAGGCTCTTACAAAACAATACTAAACACTCCTCTTTGATTTCTACCAGTAACTATTATATATTAAAATAATGTTTTTCTTGCTACAAATGACATTTTTAGATATTTGACTCTATTGTGAAAGGAAAGGTAACGTAAGACTTAATTTCTTCACAGCTAGTAAACACAAAGGGGAGAGTTCAGCAAGTGTTCCTCTGTCTTCTGGCTATAGTACAGTATCATTAGATTCAACTTCCAGAAACTCAACTGTTAATTACTGTGGTCTCAAAGAAATTTCAGAGGTAAGAAACACTGGCAACTGCTTAAATGATTACCTTTTTAATGACAGAACAAGCAAGCTTTGGTTTTAGTTGTATATACTATAGATTACTTTGGGCAAGAAAAATAGCAAAACTCAAAATCTTTAATGTCTCAAAAATTCTTTGTGATAAGTAAATAGTACTTAATGCAATGTTGCAGACTGTGTTATATATGTTCATGGTCCATCTTTGATGATGGTTTACTTTGAGAAATCACCTAAATTTGTTGCTTTTTAAATTAAAGGAAACAACAATCCAGAAAATGGAAAGGATGAAAAAAATGTAAGTAACAGAAAGGGGCAACAGAAATTCATTTCTCTATAGGGAATTGTATTGGATTACAGTATATATAGAATGTGCATATGTGTTTCAAACCTTAAAGGTCTCTCAATCAGGTGTGGAATTTCCTTCAGGACTCCAGTGGATAATAAATCCACCTACAGTATGTGTTTGTGAGATGAGTCACTGTTTTGGTTTCCAACAAGTGATGTTAAAACATTCTTAATAGAATTAACTGTGTATTAAAGAGTGCAGAGATACTTTTGCTTGGTAATTAATCAAGACTATTATCTATTTTTGATCATTGAGTAATCAAAATAGTAAATAATGTATATAGATAGTAGCTTGGAGACATTTCCAGTGTTGTTAAAGTATGGATAGTCTTCTTAGCAAGTTCTTAGTAATGTTAAAAATGCTTTTATCTAGTACAGATATCATTACATATAATGTTTTAAAGAGCAGGTCAAAGGATATGTAAAATGAAATTGTGTAAGATTATTGTGCAGTCTACTACTTTAAAAATCTATATCTTCTTTTAAAATTTGAAAACTATTAAAATAATTCATGCTTTAAGAACTGAAGACTCATAATTTTTTTTTCTCTTTGGCCATAGTATACTTAACTCTATTAATAGTAACTGTCCCTGTAAGAAAGAAAAATATTTAAGTTTAGGCTCAAAACTGTAATTCACCAATCTAAATCTTATGCTTCAGTATAAATTATTTTAATTTACTTAATTTTTTTAAACTTACATTTCAGGTTTGAAGAAACTGCAGAGTTACTGAAATGCCCAACTCACTAATTTATAGAATTTTCTGCATGAACTTCATAGTAGGGCTTTGGCTACTGAACATGTTGTATATTTTAAGAATTCTCTATACAATTGTAATATATCACAATGTTTTTATTAATGATTTGAATTCCATTTGGCATACAAGTCTTTTTTTATTCATTATTGAATAAATATTTTAATATTTTTGAGCTATGATTATACTGCTTTACTCTGTTCCAGTTTTCTTAGGAAAAACTCATTTCCAGTGCACTTCTTTTACAGAGTGAAGTCATTACCGCACTGTATTTTTGTGTTGACATTTGTTGGCAGTGTGCTAAGTAATATGTTTTGTGAAGTACGGTCTTGAGGACCAGGGTTTACATCCTGTTGGAAACATTCCAACTGAGACTTGCATATTGGACCCAGGAGGCTCTCGTACATACCATCTTGCCATCTGTACTGATGAATAAGTTGTAATGAAAAGTTAAAAATGCTCACTGAAAAATGAAATAAAACCAAAAAACAGCTATTTCATTCTTAGTCAAAAAGCAGTACCTTTTCATTTAACACTGACAAAGTAAAAACATGAGTCGTCTTTTGCATTTGGAAGCAGGTCTAAAGGTTCACTGGAGAGATGTGCTGAGTATTTTAGTTCTGTATTCTGTGACACATTTTAAGACCAGCAGCATGGACACAGATGGTGACTGTCTAATATTTGAAGATACACAGTTAATGATGGGAAGTTGTAAAATTTTTGGAGAGAGAAAAAGCCTTAGACACAGTTAAATCGAGTAAAAAATTCATTTAAAAAATTAGTACATATATTGTATTTTTTTAACATTACAAGTAGAATTGTAGTGATCTTGGGTATTCCTAAGGCAAGTTAACTCTATTATTTGGAAGGAAAAAGAGTATTTTCTTTTTTATTATATAGATTCCTCTGATTACATTTTATTTATCTGTTTATATTATATATGTATATTTAGTATTTCACTGTCAAATATAAACCTTAAGTTAACATTTTCAGTAGAAATTACTTTGGAAAGCATTTTTAGCATTCTAATAAATGTTTTGTCATTTAAGCTTTAAAATTAGGAACTTCTATATTGACATTACAAAAGCACACATCCTTGAATTTAGTACAGTTTCAGAAACTACTTTGAGAAGTAATTATGGCAACTGACTTTTCATAATTGCAAATGAAATATAATTACAAAAATCAAGAGATTACAGTTTTAAGAGAAAATACTATTGTCAAATGACTGCTAAAATCTAGTCCCAGCATAGAATTATAGCACCACCTTGTGGTTCATATGCCAATTTTTTTTTTTTACTTTTTATTAAAACAAGTGAGTTCTCATTTAACCTAGGATCTTGTTTTTCCCTTTTGAAAAACTCAATTCCAATTTAGTACATGTGCTGCTGAAGTGAGCACATTAATTCCAATTTTAAAAATAAACCTTTTTTTTTAACTTTCTGTGGAAATCAGAAGAAAAGGTAAGTCTGCCTTTTACCATCCCTTGTTTTTCCCTTGTATAGTGTAGATTAGCAACATAATTAAATTTTTTGAAACATTTCTGATCTCCTAGTGTACGTATAGTATGCAAAATAGTTATCTAATGAAAGTGTAATAAAATATTTCTTACATATGTTACCAAGTGAACATTTGAATCCAAATTTCCAAATTTTTTAGTCTAACAACTGATATGAGCTAGTAAAGCTAATTCATAATAACAACATACATTTATACTTTCAAAGATACTTTCTGTACTATTTCTACAACAAAATCTTTGGATAAACAAAGCAAATTTGACTTCATTGAAGTTATTGAAAGATAGCTAAATTATTATTTCAACTCTTTTAAAAAAAATAGTAGAAAAGGTTTTCTCTCTTTGGCAGTTTACTAAGTGGTTTGTAACCATAAACACATCTATTTTGATTAACCTGAAAGTCTTAGGAAGATGTGATAGAGCAGTCTTAGAGGATCTGGAAGTATGGAACTAACCCAGAGTTGACTGAAATTTTCAGTAACTCCATCCCCTTAATTCTCTTATAAGCTGAATGAAAAAGTACTACACCACCAACAAAGTACACTACTATGAGTAGCTTGTACTACTCTGCTCTACTCTGAGTAGTTCTGGATAGAGACTGTATAGGAATACTGTAAAGAATGCATAACATAAAAGTCTAGTCAGAAAGGGTTGAACAGTAGTAGTAAAACCAACTATATGAAAATTCTGGGCTAAAGTTAAGGACCGTTAAGTTGGAAAAAGTAGCTCTGTTATGTTATTTTTGTTTTACTCTGTTTTTAATGTGATGTTTTTACATGTAATATATTCCTTAAAAAATAAAACTTAAAGACTTTGGAACTGTGTTTTATGCATTTATTACTCATGGGCACTTGGGGAAGCATTAAAAGGTAAAAAAAAAACCTTGTCAATTTTACAAACTACAACACTTTCTAAGCTGACATAACATTATAGCTTTAATTTTTACTTTTTAACAATCCCCAGGTTTGTCTGTCTCTTTTCTTTGCAACTGAAGGATATCGAGAAAGTAATGTGGTGGAGGTGGTGTGAAACTTTAAACTACAGAATTAAAACTTTAATTGTGCCACTTGATCTTTAATATTTCTAGTGAAAATGGTAGGTTTCTTACACGACTCAGAGAAAAGAAAGCTGGAAAATCAGAACATTATTGACAACAATAGCAACAGTGAGAACATGCAAATTCATTTTTATTGACCAATTCTTTTAAATCTGTATTAATCTTATGGTTTATATTTATTTTCAATATTCTTAGGAATGAAGACTACATAAATGGCTATGTCTTTTTTTCCCCTTGTCTGAAATCCACTAAATTCATAAGAAATATATTTTACTTTTGCTTTTTAACTTTCTGAATATAAAAGATTAAACTCAACATTTTAAAATGAAGAACAAAAGACTTATTAAAAAGTATTCCAACTGTATAAATTATTTGAATTTTATGTCATTGGTGGGTAGTAAGATGAAGGGGATAATCGCGATATTTATCACCCAGGAAAGTTCAATAAATTAGTGCTTTAGTGACAGAAAGGCTGAATGTTTTGGAATAGATCCTAATTTATTATAGGTTCAATCCTTCAGTTCACTTGGATTGTTATGTACTTGGAGTGCAACCAGTTTATTAAATCATTGGATGAGGGACTTCCATTTGTTTGGTATTGAAATCCTGAGAGACACTTGTAGGAATGCACCAGAATTATCTTGTGCTTGTGTTCTTAAATCTTTTATTTGTCCCTACAAACTGGACCATAAACTCCTTCATCTACAAAACTTACTTCAATTGATACTTCTGTGGTTTACTAGTAAAATTTACCGCAAGCAGATCTCTTCCTTCTGAGTCCTCATTACATAGTTTGCATTGGTTTGTTGGAAAAGTCATGACATTTTTTTTTCTGTTTTCTATGCAAAAATGTGTCAAGACTTTCCTAACAATCTAATATTTTTGTTACTAGACAGTCTCCGAAACTTCTGAGCTTTTCTAAGAATGTATCTCGACTAGAATATTTATGGCGAAAGGTTTTAAAATAAGCTGTGAAATAGTTATTGGTAACTATTCATAAAACTCTATTAGTTTGAGTTATAATGGAGTCAGGATTGATCATTTTTAGACCTATTTCTGGATTACTTATTATTTTCCACATTCTCTATTTTGAAGAGGAAGCATTATCTTTTTCAAAAAATTCATTAATCTATTCCAGGAGTGCAAAAAACAGAGAGGGAGAGTCAGAGATACAGAGTGCCACAGTCCACACCTGGCATACTCAGGGAAGTCTCCGGACCCAAACCAACAACCTCATGTGGATCTGCATCTCAGATAATCATGCTTTACCGTTACGCCACCATTGGTCCCAGCATTACCTCTTATTTTTTAAGTTCACACCATAATCCCATCTGCATTCTCTCCCTGGATTTTGGGCACACATGCACGCATTCCTTGGAGTGATTTTTAAGTCAACAGATCTGGGACTCGAACCACAGTCGGCCATGTGGAAGTCCAGTGCCTTAACCGCCATGTCACCTGCTGGGCCCCCAGTATTGCCCTTTTATAAGTACTATTCTGGGTGGTTTGTGTTTATTGTTACAGTGTCCTTTGCTATTGTAGAGAAGACAAAACTTTATCATGCCCTCTGTCTGGCTTGACCCAAGAATTATTAAAGTGGCATGTATAAATTAACAGGAGAAAAGCTTGCAGATTTCTACATATACATGGGATCCCCATTTGAAAATGAATACCCAAAGAGTTGGCAAATCCTAAATGCTTACAGTAGGTTAAATAAAGAGCCGTGATTGTGGGAAAGGAAAATGTATAGTGAGGCTAAAGAAAGAAGACTTACTTTAACAAGGACTGTTTTAAACAGTTTTCTCCACCAAGACTCCTCATCTCTGTTCACAAGAATGCTTCTTTCCTTGTACAGGAAGGGCATCTTTTGTTGGAAATAAAAAAATACTTTCTTCTCCTGATGGAGAGCAGTGTGTCCTTTTTGTATCTATTGTTTGTCAAGTGCCTTCAGTTCAAAATAATCCTTAGGCGAAAGCAGCATATTTTGGGGAAGCATACTCTACTCTGCACTATCAAAAAACATGATACAAAATCCCACTTAGCCTAAGATTACTACTGCTGCACACCCCTTCCAACCCAGATCCTGTTATTTATGCTCTACTGTCTTGTATCCTTTACACTGTCTCATTTATTTATTGCCTTTCCCATTGGCACTGTATTACTGCCAGTTTTATCATTCTTCACTTGCACTCTTCACTGATCTTGCTTACATCTTGCCTCCTTCAGTGTATCCACACTACTACCAAAGTGTGTTTTTGAAATGGTCCTTTGACTATGACATGTTGCTGCTAAAATGTGTTTCTTTGTTCTTCCTATTCCTACTAAGTAAAGCCCAAACTTACATTGGACAACAAAGGCCTTTTTTGAAGTCTTGTCTGCCTTTCTAGCATCGTCTACAAATCTGTAGAGTTCATACTACATAGTACTCTTATTGTGTTGTTGTGCACTATTTCTTTTGTCTAGAGGGAGTTTCCTTTTCATCTGTCAAGTTTCTGATTATCTTCAAGGACATCATACCTTTTTGGAAAGGCTTCTCTCAGCTACAGAAACCAAATTATCTATTTCTACCTCTGCTGTTACAGTACCTTGTTTATACTTTTGATTCTTATATTGGCCTCATAGCTATTATTTATTTATATGACGGACCTCCATTAGCCTTTGTCTTTAATATTTCTTCCAATAGTGAGTTCCCCTAAGTGCCTAGCATTTTATTTACTTATTTATCCATTGCAAGCTACATACAGTACAAATGATTATTTGTTGACTAAATGAATCAAATTATTATCAAACTTTTCAGATGAGTAAGGTCTTGTCATGTTGAAAGCTGAGTCTTGGTTAGTCATACTGTCCTTTCTGTGGAAGATGTAATTCCAAGTTCTGGAAAATGGTCATTCAAAGGTGAATACCTTTTCTGGGAACCAGCAGTTAGCATAATGGCTATGTTGCTGGACTCCCATGTAGTCGACCACGGTTCGTGTCCTGGTGGCTTAGAACTCACGCCGGGCGTGCATGCCCAAGATCCCGAGAGGAGAATGGAGGAGAAGGGATTGCGGTGTGACCATCTCCCCGGGGGGTGATTTCTCGCTTTCTGTCTCTCTGTTTCTCTCTGTCTGTCTGGCGAGTGCATGCGCCCTGTAGCAAAAAAAACTCTCAAAAAAAAAAAAAAAGGCGAATACCTTTTCAATATGTTAAAGAACGCATTTGGAATGAAAGTTGATTGATGTGTCTTCTAGGTGCCAATGTGTCAGGCACTGGATGGACATAGGCAGACCATAAGCTAATTCCTGTTCTCACTGAGCTAATGGCTGAGCAGGAAAGATGGTTCAAGAAGCACTAACAGTATGTAGTAAGTACTGCGTTAAACCGAGAATGAGTATCTAATCAGGTGGAAGAAAGCCTTCTAAGAAATTATGTTAATCTTAAATCCTAGAGGATGAATGGAAGATAGCTGGGGAAGATGGTTTTAAGCCAAAGGACTGACATGAACATAAGATTAAGAGGGAGGCTGAGAGAAATTCACTAGGTCTAGCATTCTGAGTACGTTTATGTGTCAATGGGTACTGTGTGACTACAGGTCAGTTTACACAGTCCCCATGGGCAATTTATATTTTATTTACTGAAAAATTTAAGCAGCAGAGTTTCATAACCAGAAATGTAGAACTGGAGAATTCATTTTAGTGCTTTAGTACAGAGAATGGATAAGGGAGCAAAACTAGAGACAGAGAAACCTGCTAGGAGGCTACTACAATGATCCAAGAATGAGATAGCAAGGGTAACTCAGGTTATGATTATTGTAGAGATGGTGGGAAATAATGGGATTTAAAAGAGGAGGTGTCTTTTCCAATTTAAGGACCATCTTCAGTTTAGTATCTGCCCTGGAGGCTGGGAAGAAGATACTACACCAATGTTGAATCTAATGCCATGCCTATTAAGTCATGCACTGAAATCTTATTAGAAATGCAAGCTCTCGAGCCCCACTCCTGACCTACTGAATCAGTTTTTGCATTGCACCAAGCCCAAAGTATAGGTTCCTTTAGTATGAGAAATACTGGTTTACATCTACATACCTCTTGTTTTAGAATACTCAACATTTAAGTCTAAGCCTTCAGATTCTTCTGAATTCCTTTTATCTAAGTACATGCAGCTTTGTTATAGTCTGTTTAATATCTTAGACTCTTTAGTACCTTTGAATGGGTAGATTTAGTGTCTTGATGCATTTAGTTAAACAATTGGATTTTTTCCTCAGTTGAATTATGCATAACTAGACATTTAAAAATTGTTTCTTCAAAATTAGGTGTAAATTGTGTACAAATAAATATTTGGGTCCTCATCAGTAGTGATTCTTCACTAAGCATGAATAGGTCATGCCAATATTCTCTGTCCTTGACATATCTATGTATGTTTTTGCTGTGAAAATTCCTAGTTTCTTGCTTTTCATTGTGCTCCCAAATGCAACAAGCAATTTTTCACATACATATTAAGTTTTCAGTGTTAAGTCACACTGTGATCCTTTTGAAGACATAGCAGGTGGTTATTAGGGATCAACATTTCACATTAATTTAAAATTCAGTAGAATTTTGTCAAAATTGTTTAATTTTGGGTTGTCAATATAATTCAATCTGAGAAGTTTTAAAATGGGAGAAAAATGTATTTTAGATTTAAAAAAAGATTATACTTAAAAGCAGTACAGTACTGGGACCAGCAGTTGGCATAATGGCATCTCGTTGGACTCCCATGTAGCTGACCGCAGTTTGAGTCCTGGACTTGGTGACTTAAACTGATGCTGGGTGCATATACGCACATGCCCAAGGTCCCTAGAGAATGGAGGAGAAGGGATTGCAGCATGGGCATCCTCCCTGGGGGTGATTTCTCACTTTCTGCATGTACCTTATGGCAAAAACCTTTCCAAAAAAAAAAGGAAAAAAAAAAAAAAAAGAAAACAGTACAGTACTCCTCACTTAATGATCTATCTGTTTTACAGCTGCTAGGAATTTCCACCAATTCTCCAATGTGTGACAAATTCCCATCCTCCACCATGAACCTGTTTTCCTTGCTTAAAGTCATCTTTGAGTTTTGTTTTTCTTCTTTAATCTGTGTAATCTTAAAATCTGTGGAAAAAATTATTGAGACTGATTGGAATGAATTGCATTGAAGTTATCAATTGAGTGAGAAAATAGCTAAGTTGTGGCCTTGAGAGGGATGAGTATCAAGCACTGGGGCTAGGCTCAGTGTGGACAGGCATGCGATGTGGGAAGGAGATGCAGCTAGGTCTACACATCCACCCTGCCATTATACTGGACATCTGCTCCCCAGTCAAGGTGTATACACTGAGGGATGATTACCTGGACCCATCTGCAAAAGGTTATCAAAGGCAGATTTAACAGCTCCAAGACTTACACCCTTACTGTCTCTCAAAATATGATTTAAATACTCATATGGTCAAAACATAGGCTCAGCAAGAGCCAAGAGTTATCACTGGTGGTTATGGTTTGGATATCAAGACTGATTCTGACTCCAGAGAGTTGTTCAGCTGCTTTATAAGAACTGGAAAGCCTGGAAAGGCTTTTCAACCTTAACTGACAAATAATCAAACTGCCACTCATAGAGTAAGACCAGATTACCCCATCCATATGCTCTCCACACTGTTCTTACCTGCAACTGCCTGTGCTGCCAGCCCTGGTTCTCACCAATAGAATATATGAAGAAAATGGTTCCAGTGCTCATATTCCTTCTTTGATATCCCATATCTTCAGTGGAGCATGAGATGGATGAAGAAGTAAGCTGGTAGTTTGGATGCCAAGGCTCAAGTTCAGGTATGAGATGACACTTACTGGAGCCTTTGAGTTGTATATCTGTAGGGCCAAGCTTCTGGAGTGGCTTAGACTTCCATATGGCCAGCCACAGTTTGAGTCCTGGACCCAGAGGCTTGAAACTCATGCCAGACATGTGTACATGCATGCCCAAAATCCCAAGAGGAGAATGGAAGAGAAGGGATTACAACATGATCATCCCTCGGGAATGTGAGGGGAGCATGATTTCTCACTTTCTGTCTCTGTTTCTCCAGCAAGAACATGTGCCCCATAACAAAAATTTCTAAAAAAAAAAAGAAAGAAAGACAGAAAAGAAAATGTGAGATGATAAGTTTTGTTTTCAGTCTATGTATGTTTTTATCCATGAGATTTGTTTCTTGTAGGCAAGAGTTAGAGGGTTTCTGTTTTATTTTTGTTTGTTTGTTTGTTTGTTTTAAATCCATTCAGCCAGTCTGTGTCTCTTTATTGGAAAATATAATCCATTAACATGCAATGTTATTATCCATATTTCCAGACTTGTCCCTACCTTTAAGTTGGCCATTGTCTTGGTTGTCTTTTCTTCCCTTATTTCTGGCTGTTCATTCTTTAGTTTTCCTGGAACAGGACTCTCTTTGGAGTTTCTTGAAGAGCTGGTCTGGTGTTGGCAAATTCTTTCAGGTTTTGTTTGAGAAGATTTTAATCTTTTTTTCTCATATGAAGGACAATATTGCTGGATATAATAATCTTGGTTGAAATTGTTTCTCTCTTAACACTTTCAATATGTCTTCCCATTCTTTCTTTGCTTCCATTGTTTCTGTTGAAAGGTCTGGAGTTAACTTGATGGGATGACCTTTGTAAGTCATTTCTTATTTCTCTCTTGCCAATTTTAGTACCTTGTCTTTAACTATTGGATAGGCTAGTCTGGCTAAGATGTGCCTTGGGAAAGATCTTGGGTTGATTCTTTTTGGAGTCCTTTGTATTTCTTGGGTCTGGATGTATGAGTGCTTCTCTAGACTAAGGAAGGTTTCTTCCAGAATTTCATGGAATAGATTTTCCATGCCCTTATTAGTTTCTTCACTTTCTGGGATACCAATTATTTGGATGTTTGGACATTTAATGGAATCTAATATTTCTCGTATATTATTCTCATCTTTTTTGGTTATTTTCTCTATCTCTTTGGTGTTTTTCTTTCTAGGTCAGAGGGTTTATCTTCTACATTGGAGATTCAATCTTCAGCATGGTTTAATCAACTTTTAATACTTTTGAGACAGTTTTTATTTCCTGTGTTAGAGACTTTATTCTTTCCTATATTGTCCATTTCTTCTTTCCAATCACGGAAGGACTTCCTCATCTCCTGAAGTTTGTTGTCTCTTTTCTTTTCCAACTCATAGGGTTTTGTCATTATGAATGTTCTGAATTCTTTGTCTGACATTTTGGTAACTTCTGTTTTTTCAGAGATGGAGGGGAGTAATTGTGTTCTTTTGATGGAGACATATTTCCTGGTTTCTTCAAATCTGAGGCTCTTCTACTTCTAGGCATTGGGTGCTATATTCACTTTTGGATACCTTTTTGGAGAATGTTTCTGCCACTGGGAACAAGTTTGCTTCCCTTTTGCTGTGGAATGATGTGTGCTGAACTCTAAAATTATAGATCACTTCATGAATTTGCATGCCATCCTTGTGCAGGGACCATGCTAGTCTTCTCTGTATTGTTCCAATTTTAGTATATATGCTGCCAGAGTGAGCACTTTTTTCTTTATTTTCTCATCCAGCCAGTCAATTCCTTGATTCTACCTCCTTAGTTGTTCTCTTTCCTATTTCCTTTTATCTCCACTATTCCTTTACCTCATGTCTCCATTTTCTTCCCAGACATCATAATTGTTTGTTAACCAGGAGCTCCACCAATATAGTTTGCCAAGTGGTTATACGATTGCATTCCAATCAGAGTTTAAAACTCCTGCTGACTATAACCTTAACAAAATTTAATATTAGCTTTTAAATTTTAGAATCCATTAGGTATCTCAGAGTATATATTTTTTGTGTTAACTGCTTACTCTGGGGGCTTTTTCTGAGTAATTCTTATTGTCTTCTGCACTCTTGTCTTTTTCTTATTTATAGATATTCTGAATAGCACCTTTTTATTGATTATTGATATTGAATTGAAGGGCTGGAAAAGAAGTATTCCATGCAAATAGGAACCAAAAAAGAGCTGGAGTCATGATACTAATTTCTGACAAAAAAGGCTTTCAAACTAAAATTGTTCGAAGAGACAAAGAAGGGCATTGATTATATCATAGTAAAAGGGCTAATTCATCAAGAAGATATAACACTTATAAATATCTATGCACCTAACTCAGGAGCACCCAAATACATGAAGGAAAGACTGCTAGATCTAAAAGGAGAGATGGACTGCAACACTCAAATTGTTGGAGACCTCAGCACCCCACTATCTCCTCTAGACAGAGCATCTAGACAAAAAATAAGTAAAGAGATAAAGGATCTAAATGATACCATAAGTCAAATGGACTTAACAGAACTTTCCACCCAAAATCCATGAAATACACTTTTTTCTCACCCCCATATGGAACCTTTTCTAAGATTGACCATATGATACAGCACAAAATAAGCCTCTACAGACTCATAGGCACAGAAACTATATCCAGTACTTTCTCCAACCATGATGGAATTAAATTTGATATTAATTTCAAGAGAAATCCTCAAAAATACTCAAATACATGGAAACTAAACCTACTTCTGAATGACTTCACAACTACTGAAGAAATAAAGACAGAAATCAAAAGATTCATGGAAGTCAATGACAATGAGGACACAAGTTTCCATAATCTTAGGGACACTGCAAAACAATCATAAGAGGGAAGTTGTAGCTGGGACCAGCGGTTAGCATAATGGCTATGTCGCTGGACTCCCACGTAGTCGAGTGCGGTTTGAATCCTGGACTTGGTGACTTAAACTCATGCCGGGCATGTGTGCATGCATGCCCAAGATCCCAAGAGGAGAATGGAGGAGAAGGGATTGTGGCATGGCCATCCCCCCTGGGTGGTGATTTCTCTCCTTCTATCTCTCTATCTCTCTCTGTCTGTCTGGCGAGCACACGCGCCCTATAGCAAAAACCTCTCAAAAAAAAAAAAAAAAAGAAAAAAAGGATAAAAAGAAAAGGGAAGTTGTAGCAATTAGAGCACACAAGAAGAAGATGGAAAGAAGGCAAATGGACCACATACATTGCACTTCACAGAATTGGAAAAGCAACAGTAAAAAAATTTAAAGTAACTCCAGGAGAAAAGAAATAATAAAGATCCAAGCAGAAATAAGTGAAATAGAAAATAAATCAACTATAAAGAAAATAAATGAAAGTAAAAGCTGGTTCTTTGAAAAGATAAACAAAATTGATACACCACTAGCGAGACTTATTAAGAAGAAGAGAGAAAAGAACAAGGTAAATCAAATTGACAATGAAGCTGTCATTATAACAACAGACATAATAGAAATACAAAACATCATTAGAGGATACTATGAACAACTATACACCAACAAACAAGAAAATCTGGATGAGATGGGCAAATTTCTGGACACATATAATCTATCAAGATTTGAGTCAGGAGGATGTAGAAAGTCTGAATAGGCCCATAACAAACCAGGAGATTGAATCAGTAATAAATAACCTACCAACAAAGAAAAGCCCTGGTCCTGATGTCTTCACCTTTGAATTCTTCAAAACTTTTAAAGAAGAGTTAACTCCCATTCTGCTCAAGTTATTCCTAAAGATCCATAAGGGTGAAACTCTCCCAAATTTATTCTATGAAGTCTCCATCGCCCTTATCCTTAAAACAGATAAGGACAGAACAAAAAAGGAAAACTATAGACCAATATCTCTGATGAATATAGACACAAAAATTCTCAAGATACAGCAAGATACTAGCAAAGCGTGGATGCTTTTTTCCAAAGATAGGTTCAACGTACATACATAAAACCATAAATGTAATACACCATATTAACAGAAAGAAAGATTAAAAACCATATGATCATATCAATTGATACAGAAATTTGATAAGATGCAATATCCCTTCATGATCAAGACTCTCAGCAATATAGGCATAGAGGGTCATTTCTTACCACAATAAAAGCTGTCTATGAAAAACCCGTAACCAACATCATCCTGAAGGGGGAAAAGCTGAAAACTTTTCCACTAAAAACTGGTACAATACAAGGATGTTCACTTTCTCCACTCCTTTTCAGTAAGGTACTGGAAGTCCTCACCAACACAGTCAGAAAAGAGAATAAAATAAAGGCATTCAAATAGGAAAAAAAAGAAGCGAAATTATCTCTATTTGCAGATGACTTGATTGTATACATAGAAGACCCAATGGTTGGGACCAGCAGTTGGCATAATGGCTATGTCGCTGGACTCCCATGTAGTAGACCATGGTTTGAGTACCAGACCCGGTAGCTTAAACTCATGCCAGGCACATGTACTTGCATGCCAAAAACCCTGAAAGGAGAATGGAGGAGGAAGGATTGCAGCGTGGCCATCCCCCCGGGTGTGATTTCTCATTTTCTGTTTCTCTGTCTCTCTCTGTCTTTCTGGCGAGCGCATGTGCTCTGTAGCAAAACAAACAAACAAACAAACAAAAAAACTCTCTAAATAAATAAATACCCAATGGTATTCATGAAAAAATTCCTGGAAGTAATACATGAATACAGTATAGTTGCAGGATACAAAATCAACATATAGAAGTCTACAGCATTTCTATATATGAACAGCAGACAGACTGAAATAGAACTGAAAAAAAGTAATTCCATTTACCATAGCTACAAAAAATACAAGATACTTAGGAATAAATCTAAGTAAAGAAGTTAAAGATTTCCACAAAGAAAACTACAAGAAGCTAAAAATAGAAATTGAAAATGACACAAAAATGTGGAAGGACATCCCATGTTCCTGGATTGGAAGAACTAATTTAATCAAAATGGCAATTCTACCCAAATTAATCTACATATTTAATGCAATCCCAATCAAAGTGCCAGAGACATTCTTCACAGATCTAGAAAAGACAATAATATGATTTGTCTGGAATCATAAAAGACCTCGTATTGCCAAAGTGATCTTGCACAAGAAGAGTAGAGTGGGTGAAATCTCACTGCCTAACCAAAAAAAATGCTACAAAGCTGTGGTAATCAAAATAGCATGGTATTGGCACAGAAATAGGTGGACCAATGGCCCAGAATAGAGTCTCCAGAAATAAACTCCCAAACATACAGCCAACTGATTTTTGACAAAAGGTACCTGTCAATCCAGTGGGAACAGGAAAACCTCTTTAGCAAATGGTGCTGGAAAAACTGGATATCCACCTGCAGAAAGATGAATCTGAACATCTATCTCTCACCATTGACAAAAATCAACTCAAGGTAGATCAAATATCTAAACCTAAGACTTCAAACTATAAAACTGCTGCTGGAAAACACTGGGAAACTCTGGGAGACATTGGGATAGGCAAAGACTTCTTAAATAAGACCCTCAAACCACAGACAATAATCCCCAAAATAGACAAGTGGAATTACATCAGATTAAGAAGTTTCTGCATGGCAAAAGACACAATAATTTAGTGTGAATCGACAGCCCTCAGAATGGGAAACTATTTTTGTAAACTATGCATCAAATAAGGGACTAATAACCAGAATACACAGGGAACTCAAGCAGCTTTCCCAAAAAAAGATGATAAACCCTATTAAAAGATGGGAGAACAAAAAAGCCAAAAGCCAAAAGAATAGCCAAAGGCATATGAAAAATGCTCAACATCCCTCATTTAAGGGAGATGCAAGTCAAAACCTCAATGAGATATCATATCATCTAACCCCAGTCAGAATGACTGAGATTAAAAAAAAATGATAAATGCTCTTGGGGGTGTGGTTAAAAGGGAACTCCTACACTGCTAGTGGGAGTGTAAGTTGGTCCAGCCACTATGGAGAACAATATGGAGATTACTCAAAGATCTACAAATAGGACTACCATATGATCCAGCAAGCCCACTCCTTGGTATCTACCCAAAGAACAGAAGAATCCCCAGTCAGAAAAATGCTTGCACACAGATGTTTATTGCAGCATTATTCACAATTGCTAAGACATGGAACCAATCCAAATGCCCACAAACAGATGAATGGATTGAAAAAATGTGGCACATATACTCTGTGAAATACTACTCAGCCATAACAAACAAGACCTTGGCTTTTGACATAAAGTGAATGAATATGGAAGATTTACTGCTGAGTGAAGCAAGCCAAGCTATGAAGGAGAGATATTGTATATCTCCACTTAATATATATCAAGCTTCCACACTCAAGCCAAAACTGAATGAGTGGAGGATACAGAAACATAGTGAATGGTTATAAATACCAGATACAGTGTGGGAAGAAGGTGGATGAAGGAGTAGAGTCTGAGGAAGGACATTAAGGAGAAAAATAGAGAGGCAAGGCATTTATGAGACAAAGAAACGAGTTATTTTTTGTTGACAATGTGTATAGTACTCTCAACTGGACTGGTGAGAAATGTATACATGTTGGAATATTCACTTTTCAATCTAATTAACATGTGATTGAATGTATGAAAGAAATTGAAATTAAAAAAAAATTTAAAAAGGATATCTCAGTCTTGGGTAGACAATAGTCACCAAAGAATGCGGACAGTGGCCCAGTGAAAAGTAAGTTTTAAAGAACCCTTTCTTCTATTAAATTC